GTAAAGTCCTCTTTATTGAGGCCGAAAGAACCATAACACAATCGTCTGAATAATTGTTTGGCAATTACAATTCTGTAAGGACTGATTGATCCTTGCTGGCACGCTCATAATTACGAAAGTAACCTTCGAAAGCCAAAAAAGCCAACATATATTTTTGGCACGCCCAGTGGGACCTTTTTAAAAACAAAATGGCTAGACGTAGGAGACAAGGAGAAAATGAACGTTTGGAAGAAGGCGTGGAAGGAGAGGTGGAGACATCCAATCCAGAGGATAATGTGATAACACATCCTGTGGAAACTCCTATCCTATCGGAACTCATGGTCGAACAGACCAATACCTCAGAGCAAATACCATTTGTTCGTAATATTAGACGAGACCAAGGAATTGGACCATCCAGTGTCCCATCTACTCAACCAGTCAATCCGTGGGGCGGCTTGATAGATGCCATGGGACAGCAATTAGTAAACACAATGGAAAGGTGGGCAGTATCCTTTTTGGATCGAATGAATAACCACCAACCAACGAATGTAAGACACATAGAGGAAGCGAATGTCCCTCAGCAAAGATTGGCTAGAGACAAACAGCCTATGCGAGCTAATGGACATTCTAACGGTCAAACCAGTAACCAGATTCATGAAAGATTACCACCTCAGTCTTGGTACGAACCCATTCCGAGGCCTATAGTAGGCCAGAATGCCTCAATGTTCAACAGTGAAGCCATGCAGATTGGTGGATCTGGCCCGGTACAAGAAAATGGCATAAGAATAAATCCAAATCCCACATTCGAAGCCATGCCTGGCACCAGGGGTACAATAATCCCGTATTCGAATTTATACCCGGGGGGTTGGAAGGTTTTCCTACAAGCGGAAGGGATGCAACACCTGTTCCAGCACCTTTCGTGGGTCCTTTCGCAGGACAGGCTCAAAGAGGTTACCTACACCCCTAACAGCACCCTCTACCACAGGGACAGCCAGTCCCAAATGTACCACCTTATGGACCAAGAGGACCACAAGCACAAGTTTGTCCACCAAATCCTGTGTTTGTTCCCCCAGTGGTGGTTCAGTAGGCGCAAAATATGGTCCCTAGGGACCAGATCACTGAGATAGTTAGGGAGTTGTGTGGACCAATGGCTCGGGGGGTCCAGACCCCTGTGTAGAGAAAACCATACCCAGAATGGGTTGATAGGGTACATGAATATCCAAGAGGTTTCATGATACCAGATTTTGTCCTCTTTCATGGGAATGGAAACCAATCCACAGTAGAACATATTGCTAGGTTTGCTGCTCAATGTGGTGAATTTACCAATCATGACTATATAGAGTTGAGACTATTCCCAAATTCTCTAACCGGAGGAGCATTCGTATGGTATATTAACCTTCCACCTGGCTCCATCCAGACTTGGCAGCAAATGGAAGAGGCATTTCATGCCCAGTTCTTCCAATCAGAGCCAGAAGTTTCCATGGCAGACTTGGCCAGATTAAGTCAAAGGCCTGAAGAGAAGGCCACTCAGTTTATTTCCAGATTTAAGAGGGCTCGAAATAAATGTAGAGTAATCTTGCCAGAAACTGAATTTGTAAGATTGGCCCAAAATGGCCTAGAGTTCAGGCTTCGAAAGAAGTTTGATTCAACAGAGTTTAGAGATTTAGTGGAACTGACTTACAAAGTATCTAGATATGAAGTATTACTAGAAGAGGAACAGGATCGAAATAATGCATCATATAAGACATACTACAAAGATCCTAATTATGAGATTGATGCGGCAGAGATTGTGGGAAAGGAGCCTATGATCTGTGAAGCATTAATCCATAAAGATACAACAATTGACCATCAGTTTGAAAAGAAAGATCTCCACAGGAAATATTCTTTCGACTTAACTAAGGCAGATGACATTTTTTATCATTTGCTTGCGGCCAACTTCCTTAAGTTACCAAAGTGTGTTAAAATTCCATCTCTTGATGAACTTAAAGGAAAAATATATTGCAAATGGCATAATTCTTGGTCTCACTCGACTAAAAACTGTGTTGTTTTTCGAGACAGGATCCAAGAACAAATTCGGAAGGGAAGTTTGAAGTTCCCAGCCAAAGCTGAAAAAGTCATGGGGATCGATAGCAATCCATTTCCAGAAATTGGAGAGGTGGCAGCTAATGTCATTATGTCAGACTTTCAGAACTTGTCTCTGAAAGAATTGGAGGAAGTCAATGTACAGATGCATGTGGCCAACCAGACAGCAACCAAAAAAGACCTCAGAAGTCCACCAGCCATGGGACGAGAGTTCCCACATTAGAAGGAAGACTCTGATGAAGAAGCACTGGATGATGATTCCCTAGAAGCAGCCGTGATGCAACGAATGTGTCCCAGATGCAGACTGAGTTATAAGTGGTTGAAGGGCCTTTCAGTCGATGGGAAGCAGTATTACAGGGATGTGCAGAGGCGTCCCAAACCAACCAATGCTTATAACAAAAGGCCGTATCCGGCTAATGTCAGGCAGCAGCCATTAATGGTTGAACCTGCAGTTGGTAGAATGTATGCTAAAGGCAAGAGGCCTTTTTATGAGTCCAGATCTCCTAACTATTACAGGTTGGAGAGTAGTCATTCTGAAAGAAGGTTGGAGAAGAATTCAGGTTTTGGTATCAAAGCCAGGAATTGGCCCCTTAGGCCAGCTTCACGAAGGACAGAAAATGATCACCATCACCAAGAACCTGAATCAGGCTTAAGTCTTGAAGATAGGGCTAAACAATTGTCTTCACAGCCAACCTCGAAGGTGATCTTGAAAGAAGAAAGAGGCGGTTCAACGTCTAGGTCAGTAAGTTCGTGGGTACCTGGAGTCCCAGATTGGTTTGTGATGCAAAACAAACCTAGGGAAATGCCTTCCCAAAGGAATTTTGGAAATCAAAGTAGGATGGTTAAGCCTCCTTTGGTGGCCCCTAATAACTGGGTATTGCTGAAACACCCAAGAACGAAGGAACCAGATATGGTCCCCGTTATTTCTCGATCACAAAGGAGAAAAATTCAGCGTAGGTACACCCAATACCAGAGAGACCTGAAAGAAAGTGGAGAGAGCTCTTCGATGACCCAGACTGGAGAAAAGAAGAATCGAAAGTCAGACCATAATTCAAAATCAGTTACACAAAATGAGGTAGATCGCAGCAGAGAACAGTTGGTCAAGGTTCATTCTGAACTAAAGGCCAGAGAGAAGGAAAGTCTAGCAGGGATGGAGAAAGCTCTGATGGAGAGTGGTAGCGAAACGGAAGGAGATAGTGGCGTAAGCCAGAAGAAAGAAATGGTGGAAGAAGAAATGTTCGAAGCCTTCATGGCTGAGCAAACATTTTTGGTTGGAAAGCCAGCTGAGGAAAATCTTTCGAAGGGACCCGTTAGCAATGAAATATCAGAATGCATCATGCAGGATGCTTCTGAAGAAATTGACCAAGGTGACCAAGAGGGAAAACAGGTACAGCCAGCCATCCAGTTTGGCTCGTTTCCCCCAGTATCAGTGAACATGGTACACATACTACCACAGGAATTCCAAGCTGGAGATGAGAATCAAGAGGGGCAGGAAGCTGATCCAGTTCAGATCTCTAGTGAAGACTCACAAGCAAGTATGGTGCAAGATAATTTCGAAATGGTTACCCCAATGGAAGCTGAATATGAGAGCGAGGAAGTGGTAAGCATCAACCTATCGTATCCATTCG